GTCCGCTCAACTTCTCTCTCGCGGTAAAGCGTTCCATACCTATCCTACCAGCACGAATGACCTCCAGATCAGCAGGGATAATGCCAGCCAGCACCGGTAAGGCCGCCGTGCTAGTGGACCGGTACGCCTTGGTCAACAAGACAAGGGCAGATCGTTGCGATCTCAGTAGTACGCTACGGACTGTGTACATGTTCGCCCGCTGTACCAGCACTCTGCTGCATACGTGAGCGTGGACACAAACACTCCATGATAGAGGAATAGATGTGTTATGTGTAAATGAGACGAAACGGAAGGGGAAGGATGTTACTACACATGGCATGTATACCGCATACTGGTCTGGGGTAGACGAGATCGAGCGGGCATGCCAGGGAGTAGGTATCATCCTTTCAGAAAGAATGGGCCAATTTGTGAAAGAGTATGAATGTGTAAGCCCAAGACTGCTATGGATACGAATGAAAGTGGGCTTAAAGAAGTTGTTTGTGCTAGGGGTCTACGCCCCAGACATGACTAAGCCCACTCATATCCGAGAGCAGTTTTGGGAAATGGTAAGGATGGTGTTAATGAAATGTAAGGAAAATGAAAATATTATTATGCTAGGAGATTTTAATGGAAGGTGAGGAGGCTTGGTTACGAAAGGATATTGGGAACGTTGGGTGATGAAAGCATAAACGAGAATGGTGAAAGCCTCCTCACCGTATGTATGGAAAATAATCTTTTTGTGACGAACACTTGCTTTCGTCACAAGAGGATTCACATGTATACTTGGGAAAGAGGTGATGATAGAAGCATGATAGATTTCATAATTGTGGATGAAAGAATGAGGGGCGCAGTGGTAGATACAAGGGTCTACTGGGGGTCTAACGTAGGAACGGATCATTATTTGGTTTTATGCCGAATTAATGGTCTATTCAGGCGTTGGCGCCATCGGTCATCTATGTCCACCACTGCGTTACAGCGTATTAGAACAGAAAGGCTACAAGAGGAAGGTGAGAAAAACAAGTTCAAATGTATACTGAAAGAAAATATAAGTGGTTTGGATGAATTATGTATGAATGAGTTAGACTTGGAGAATGTATGGCAGAATGTTAAGAAAGGTTAGTGGATGCAGCTACCGAAGTATGTGGTGTTAGTAAAAGAAAGAAGGAGGAAAAATAATACGTTATGTGGGATGATGAGATACGTATGGAAGTTGAAGCAAAGAAGAGAGCGTGGCTAGATTTAATAGCAACAAAGGCTGGTAATTCTAGCAGTAAGAATGATGATATTGAAAGAAAAAAGGCAGTCATCTAAATAAGAGAGTAAAAGAAGTATTTGAAAGGTAAAAGCAAGAAAGAACGGATAAGAATGATAGAAGAATATCGGATAACTTCCAGGCAAATATTAAAACGTTCTGGAAACTTGTAAGAACTGCCAGGAGACATTCAAAACAGCCTATGATGAATGCTATAACAGACGAGAATGGCTATATTCTGAATGATGAAGTTTTGAGTTTAAAGAGATGGAAGGAATATTTTGAAAGCGTGTTTATGAGTGAGGAGACAACGTATGAATTAAATGAAGTAGAAACTCCGAAAGAAGAGGAAAGAGGTAGCGAGATAAGTATAGATGAAATAATGAAAGCAATGAAAAGCATGAAAGCAGGTAAGGCTGCCGGATATGATAGAGTTTCACTCGATGCTAAGGGCTGGAGAGGAAGTGGTGGCAGGCCTGCTGCACACCTTATTTAATTTATGCTGGGAACTGAAGCGGGTACCGGTAGACTGGTGCAACGCCGTGATAGTCCCAGTATATAAAGGAAAAGGTTCGCAGCAGGACTGTAAAAACTACCGTGGTATCAGCCTTCTTAGCATTGTGGGAAAACTGTATGCTAAGGTACTGATTGAAAGGGCCATGAAAGAAACTGATTTTGAAAAATTTGGGATGTGCAAGCGGGATTTAGAAAGGGAATGGGATGTACAGATCAAGTCCTTTCCATGCGGATGATCGCGGAGAAGTATTTGGCCAAAACCAAAAGGTTTTTTGTGCGTTCATGGACTTGGAAAAGGCCTATGACAGAGTGGATAGGGATATACTATGGCAAACACTAAACTCATTTGGGATGAGCGCTGGCTTGATACAGGCATTGGAGTCTCTTTATAGACTCTAGTGCTTGTGTTAGGATCAACGGGGTCTACTCGGACTGGTTTGGCATCCATAAAGGTGTCAGACAGGGCTGTGTGGCTTCCCCGTGGCTGTTCAACCTATTTATGGACAGTTGTTTGCAAAATTTGAAAGTTGAAGAATGCGGATTAAGAATGGGTGAATTAACCGTCAAATGCCTTTTGTACGCCGATGATCAAGTTATCTTGCGTCATCGGCGGCCGAATTGCAAATGATGGTTACATTAATGAACAGAAAAAAGAAAGGGGTATGAAAGTGAACGCAAGTAATACGAAAGTTATGGTTTTTGAAAGTGAAGAAAGTAAAACGATATATGAAATAAGAATAGAAGGGGAGTTGATCGAGCAAGTAGATGAGTTTGTATATTTGGGTTGCGTATTTAGCAGGGATGGGAGATGTGATAAGGATATAGAATGACGAGTGAATGCAGGCAATAGAGTAAATGGGGCCCTGCACTCTATTGTGAAGAGTCAAAATGTGTCGAAAAAGGCACGTATGGCAATTCACATCGCTGTGTTGGTCCCTACTTTAACGTATGGTAGTGAAAGTGGGGTGTGGCAGAAGAAGCACGAGAGTAGAATAAATGCAGTAGAAATGCGGTCGTTAAGGAGTATGTTAGAGCTGAATCTGAATGACAGAGTAAGAAATTGTGTAATAAGATAAGAGTGTGGTTTGCAAGATGATGTTGTGACCAGGATTAAGAAAGGAATGCTTCGGTGGTTTGGTCATGTGGAAAGAATTAATGAGGAAAGAATGACAAAGAAAATTTATGTTGCAGAAGTGAATGGCATAGTCGGAAAGGGACGTCCTAGGCGGAAATTTATCGACCAAATTGGCGATTTATTGAAAACGGGCCAAATTAGGAATTAAGTACCCTTAACCGACGAGCATGTATGCGTAGGTATATGGATGTGAAGGAGGCGAGAGAGGTGTGTCAGGATCGTGCCAAATGGAAGTCTGTAGTCTCTGCCTACCCCTCTGGGTGACAGGCGTGAGTGTTTATGTTATGTTTATTATGTTTATCCACGACTTTTTCTGTGAAAAAGTGTGGTGTGTGTGGTGACTTAAATTGAAGTTATTTCATAGCGGGGAAGTTAATTCGTTCGAAAATTGTAAAGATTAATGTTTCTTTCTGTACCATTAGTTGTATTTTATACTAATTAGATTAAAAATACTTTAATCTAAATCATAGATATTCATAAAAATAAAAAAAAATAAAAAATGTTAAAAATGTACAAAAAATTAAAGAACAAACCACTAAGGCATTGTTTTGTGTATTAATATAACACTCTAGAAACTGATAAACTTTTATTTAAACTAACTTCTCAATTAAATGATACTGTGTAAAAAAATCTTCACTTCGTTTCACCAGGAATTTTCTTCCGCGTACGACCTCTTTGTAGAATAATTTAGCACCGGCGATTTTTCCGGATCGATACGACCTGGGGACCTTCAAGAAAAGAGCTTACTCCTTTCTAAAGGGCCGGCACCGCACCTGCAATTCCCCTGGTGTTGCGGTTGATCATGGGCGACGGTAGTCACTTAACATCAGGTGAGCCGTATGCTCGTTTGCCCCTCTTCTACAAAAGCACCTGGTACATACACAACTGGCGACATCTGGTGAGCGGAAGATTATTAGCCCTCATTGCTTAGTTGGAACTAGGAAAAAAGAAGAAACGCTTTCCGACGCAGTGTCGGGAATAGTCAATAGCACAACACAATGCAAGCCGGTAAAAATAATTATACAATATTTTAAAAATACTCCATTTTAAAATGATTTAACATTTGCCGTGTAATGGCGGCGCAAGAGAATCTACTACCCCCGATCCTCACGCGGGTTTCGTTGGAGAAAAAAAGAGGGGAAACTAAAACTGGAGACGGACAGCGGCATCTTCCTGATAATAGTTCAAAATGATCAATGAGGTCGCCCACCCGCCTGCCTAGCGTGCCAAATATTATTTTTATATTATATTTCAGATAATTACTACATTAAAATATTTTGTAATTGTATTGTTCAACGACGAAGACCAACTACACAGGTTGTCATAAAACGATACTATTCAAAGAAGCCAACGAAAACAGACCGTGGCAAATTGTAAATAATCAGTCTAGAAACCATTGATTTATAGAATCTATATTATTTCATTTAGTCTATGCTGCATGCTCTCAACCGGAAGTAATTGCGACAGGACAGAGCGGCGCCGATGGTCTATACAAAAAAACTTTCGATTGCTATCCCAAGCCAACGGTTGTCTTTTTACTCGAACATATTCTCGCAACTGATACGGTTTATGGTTACTGGGAACAAATTAAAAAAAAAACATTCCTACAACCTTATTCCCAACTTATGAAGTCACTGACTTCGTTACAGATTCTACACTATTTGTAATCATACTTTCATTTCATTTACAGAATAATTTTAAATGAACTAAATTTAAAAATAGTAACATAGTCACTTTTTTATAGAATAAGAATATATTTGTTATGTTCAAACGTGGTAGAGCCACGCTACAGCTATATTATGGTTGTAGCAAGAATGGATTAACTCAACAGGGTTAGGACCACGCTCTCACAGAATACCAGCGAAAATAGCAGCTTAATACTACTGTGTTTCGTATGGTGAGTATAGAGAACCGGAGACCTTTTTTACTGGAAACGAGGTATTCAATCTCAGTCCTCAAGGGTGATAACGCATCTACAGTTCGATTCTTAATTGAAGATAAATGTCTATGGGCCACAGCATACTGTGTGCTTGTTAGTTAAGTACCTTATTATAAACTATTAAAATAAGTTTAAAATGTGTGACAGGAGAAAAGGTAAGTAGAGTATATTGGTCTTACTTGCATCGTGCGCACGTGAAGCACTTCTGGTGGTAAGTGTTCCCGAGAGCGGAGACCACCTCGCCCTCCACGTACTGGTTGCATGCCGCGCAGCGTGTACCGAATGCGCGCTGATAATCCTGTAAGAAAGTCAAAAACCTCATCAGCTATAGCTTTTTATACAGTTTTTTTTATAACGGTTTATTATTATTTATATATTTAAATTTAAAATTTAGCAACTCTTTGAAAAATAACAGATATAAAGAAATAACAGAGTTTTTTTTTTGTAGTGAAAAACTTCTTTAGAATCGTTGAAACAGAAACAGAAAGCTTTTAATTTAAAATTATAAAATACTTATTGAAAGTCACTCCAGTGTTGAATTCACCACTGGTTTGAAAAAAAAACCTCTGTCTTAGCAAGATCCAATCAGAACAGGAACACAGCCAAACGTTATTTTTGAAGCATAGTTTGAAAAATACACCATCATATATGAAATATGTTACACAAATAACAAGAAATCAAATTAGAAACAGATTGGTAGCGATCACGTCATTCGCAGGGGTTATTATAATCCATGAATTCCTTTATATTGTTTTAACCCTTTTCCACAAACGTTGTTTAGTATAGTTTTTGAATTTGAAGAGAAAATTTTATAATATATTTTCTGGGATTTTGTTTTAAAAGCGTATACATTGCCAAAAGAATGAATTACTGACTCAGTGGACCGTTTTTTGAAATTCCATGAAACATATACATCTATAGGATTTAGCCTGCAAGCGAATAAGGTAGAACACTGTATAGAGTATTTCCTATTTTTCAGTAGCATCTTCATGATAAGTTAAAATAATAAAATACTGCAGTTGACAACCCGCCCGTGAAGCGTGCCATTTTTTTTTATTTGGCTTTAATCCAAAGAAATATAGTAATGTTATCGATATTATACTCAGGCATGAATCGCACACTTTGAAAGCCACCTTCCATAACTGTATTTCCGTATTAAATGACAAAACTCTGAAGCACCGCAACAACCAGAAGTAACATTACACATATGTTAACGACCAAACTCTTGAGTTATATTTGCAGACTTTCTAAGAATACGTGTCATAAGAAAACATATTTTAAGAGGAATTTTAATAGAAGCTAGTTTGCGAAAATATTATGGTTTTTGTGAGTATTATGTTTATAATAACTTGAAGAAGAGTGTATTAGCAAAGTTCGAATACTATTTAATTTCAAAAAACTTATGGATAAAATTGTGTAAAATTTCAACAGATATTCAAACTTATCTTCCAACACGACAATATTTCTAGATACAAATTTGTTTTCAACCATTTTGTTTCTGTAGTTATAAAGATATAATATAGCTAAAATATGTAACGTAAAATAAGTTGTCAAACATATTTCGCTACAACATGTTCTTTGACTATGCAAACGCTTTTTGATACATTGACAGTAAAAACATGTTTTTTTTTGTGAAAATCGCGTCAGTGCAAACTCACGGTTACTTGTTAAAGAAACAACAGCCGACCTGAGGGCAGTAGTAGTGGCCGTCCTTGCAGAAGAAGCCGCCGCGCGCGAGCGAGGCGGAGCAGGTGCGGCACGTGAAGCAGGCCGTGTGGAAGTACTTGTCGGTGACGCGCAGCACCTCGCCGCTGCACTTGCCGCCGCACGCGCCGCACACCACCTTGCCTGCGCACACCACAACCGTAAGGGGGCATCCATTCAGCACGTCAGCTCAAAATGTAATTTACAACGAACATTAAACAACCTAAAATTAAAACAAAAAGTTTCGGTATTTAATAGAATCAGTATTTTGCGGGAATCCTTATTTTAGCTCAGATTTTAACGTCCTTAAAAAGAAGCGACTTTGAATTAGAATGAGAACTTCGATAGATGATGAAACATACAAATTATTTTAATTAAGTATATTCAAATAGTGTCGTCGACCCTAAGCTTCTGCTGCTCTTAATATGGCCACGTAAGTTAAGGCTACGTTAATCTTCTAAATGTTTAGAATTTATATACTCGTCTCGTATAATCCCTGAGTCACTTTAAAACGCATATTTATTATTAAAAAAAAACTCAAAACGTATAGACAGACCAACACTTTTATTTTATTGATATTTATTACGTTCGGGCGATAGTAATGTTCCTCGCAGTTCATATTCATTACGTATAGAATAATGGATGCACGCGTCATAAATATGTCTGATGCGGCGTTCATTGTTTCTCCACACACATACATTATTATTTAAGCTTTGTTTTCTCGAAAAATGAAATATGTTAAAAATTAATTAACTAAGAGCCGAGTAATAAAATAAAATGATGTGTTCACTGTGGCTGACCGCTAAGTAACTAACTTCACTAGTTTGTAGTGGGTAGTAGTTCACTTAGCGGTCAACCACCGAGTGTACTTCACGTGAGGTTTAGAGTAGAAACACGTGTCGTACTAACGACGGTGGTGTGTATTTCCTAGGGACGTGCTCTTCAAACTAAGCAAGTACTAAGGTAAGACACATCATTTTATTTTAGTACCCGGATGTAAGCAAATTCATTTTCAACGTATTTATTATAATGTATTTCCAAAAAGTAATGCCTGAGACATATTATAAAACAGTCAGTAAAAAGTTCACGCATAACATGTAACAAAACTAGCAGAAAAAAAGGTTTTTTCATTCTTTTAAACATTCCATCAACACTATTTCTCCTGTACATGGATGAGTTTTTGGGTTTAGTGGCGGTGTAAGAATCCACTAGCATGGGTAGTACCGTAAGACATGACACTGGGAAACTAATACAGTATAAGGACATCAGCATCATCCGGATAACAACTCAAAATTAAAAAAAAACTACTTTTGCCAAGCCAAGCATGGCAACTATGGCAAGATCCGTCCTATTAAAGGCCTTTGTTAAGCAGTGTACTTATATAGGCTGTAATTAATTAATATGTTGGTTTACACATACTTAATATAACATATAAGCACGTGGACAGACGCCAAACAACTTTAGATAATAAATCCTTGAAAAATATTCAATCCACTGATTAATGTATAAAACGTTTAATTATAAGATATCGTCTCAGGGCCTAGAGTCCCTACTTAATCAAGTGGCAGTTCACACACAAGAGCTGGGGACCTCCCGAGGGAGCGTGGGAACGCGCCGACTTAATTGCCCCACTTTGTTCTAAGTTTCATCTAACGTTAATATTTCATAAAAATACTATAATAAGATTCATTGGGCAGTGAAGAATGAAGTTAATCATTACATTAATAAACGTATAATTAAGATTTTTTTTAAATTAACGAGAACCGCTAGGATGCAGCTGCGCCCGAATGAAATTTAAGGTTTATTTATATTCAATAAATAAGTTTTCATATTTTTTTAAATAAAATAATGGTGAAACGAGAACACAGTCCACCTGATAGTAAATGAACGCTGTGGCCAATAGATATCTACATCCATCTTCGATTGAGTATCTAAATGCAGATGCGTCGTCACCCCTGAGGACAGATGTGATCGTCGTTTCAAGTCAAAAGGATGTCAAGTTTTCTACACTCACAATAGGTATACTAAAAAAATATTTCGGCCGATTGAATTTTAAGGTTTATTTAATTTCAAGCTGTTATTCTGTTGCGTGATCCTTCCCCGGTCGACGCGACCTTTTTTGTGCTATAACGATAATATAGACGGCTCTACCACGTTTTCTGGCTCATTATTAATAATTTATATCAATTTGAATGTCAACAGCAACAATTTTTACATCTGCACTCAGTAAAGGTAATCTTTATAATATTATAGAAATACTAATGACTGACTCAACACGATATCGTTAAAACTATCATCATCATCATCATCAGCCTGCAGCAGTCCAATGCTGGACATAGGCCTCTCCCAAGGCGTGCCACTTAGCCCGATCTTCGGCTACACGCGTCCAGTTTCCAGCAGCCACCTTGCGCAGATCGTCGCTCCATCTGGTCAGGGGGCGTCCCACACTACGTTTGCCTAGACACGGTCTCCACTCCATAACACGTCTACTCCATAGGTTGTCACTTCTGCGACAGACATGACCAGCCCATTGACACTTCAGCTTACAAACACGAAAATCTATGTCAGTAACTTTGGTTCTCCGGCGGATTTCTTCATTTCGAATTTTGTCTATCAGAGAAACTCCGAGCAAAACTCGTGTGTATACCAGTTACTAGACTCCACAGAATTAGTAATTCATTGATGGGGCAATGTATAGTGTAACGCCTTTACAACAAAATCCCAGAAAATTTACAGAATTTGTCATTAAACAAGTTTAAATGTTTTATTAAAGAAAGATTGTACAAAAAGGGTTATTACAATACAAATGAAAATAACGCCTGGGAATGAGGTGATCACCACCATGCTGGTTCTATAAATATTCATACAAAAATTGTACAAAACAAATTCATTGTGAATTGAAATACGTTTAATAAAGAGGCCCGCTGGATTTCTTGCTGATTCTTCCCAGGACAGAGGTTTTTTTGCGAACCAGTGGTAAATAAAAAATGACGTTCAATACGTATTATGCAATAATCTGTATTGAATAAAAATCATTCATTTCATTTCATTGCGCAATGTAAACTGCTCAAAAAGAACGAATTTTACGATAGTCCCATTAAAAAAAATCTTGATATTTTACACCTAGATTCCGCAATAAAGTATTATCGTGCCTCAGCGCAGAGAGCGAGTATCAGCTGATTTTATTTACTAACTGATACTGATTTCATATTTTTAAGAACCTTTTTCAATTGGAGGTTTCCTAAGGTTGCCAAATCGGAAAAATAAAATATTTGTTAAAAATTTCAAAAACCTAAATATCATACGTACCTACATGATTAATTCAGGTTTAATTTTTACGTTGCCGCATATATTTGATATTGGCTTTTATTGAGTCCACCAACTTCGATCCTTTCGGAGAATTTAGTTTGACAGTGTGGGTCGGTTTTGTCAAATTATTATTGTGGCAAAGATGTTTTATAGTTCAAAACATCTTTGTATTGTGCATTGATTTTTACGATTGGTTGTTTGTCGGCAGTCGGATCATCATTTGAAATGTCGGGAGAATTCCGAACATCTGACAACCCTAGGACCCCAAGTATCGGAAATGTCAGATTTTTTTTTAAAATTCCGAATGATATCGGTACACCATCTTGCTTGAGCCTGGTGAAAGAATACCTAGACTGGTGACGGCGTTGTCATTGTGAAATAAAGATTTATTACAAGCTTTTCCAATAAAACATACACAAAACCCAACCGATAAGAATTATAAAATACTCAATTCTGCATTAAGTTTTTCATAATATATCAATTCATTTTAACTAGAACGAGGCGTGCCTCGGTGTGATGCTGAGCGAGGGCGCAACAGACACGACGTCGTCACGAGGGAAGACGCTGCATCGACACAAATCACCTGGACCTGGTTTAAGTGTGACCTCACTTTTACATGTATAATCTAATACGGGGAATACATATAAATAAAATTTAAGTGTGTGAAATATCGAAATATCTGCTTTAAATTTAGCTGTAAGAGCAAATGCGTGTGGCCTTTTCTCTATACAAATGCTCTCGCCTGTTTGCTTTAGCAATGATTTTGTACAATAAAATTAATATCAACCTCTTACATGTCCCTATGTGGTCGTTTTTGATGATACCTATATTATCTTTATAAGCACTAAAACCTTTACAAAATGCTCAAAAGTGCCTATATACTGCTGTCAACAGGGACCCAGTGTTCAATGATAACTAACACTGTAAAAAGGAAAGCATAGGGACACAGTGTATATCCTTGTTATTTAGTTTATGAAATATCTTTTAAATGGGTCCAATATTGGAGGAGGAAATAGTGGAGAGTAAAACCACGAATTACGCCTTTTTACTTAGGCTATTCAGTCGGATCAGCAGTTGATTTTATCGCACTCGCGCTCGCAGAGCGACAGAGATAGTTTCTTCAAATATCTAATTTTCAAAAGTCCCTGAGCCCGCATTTTCTCTTAACATTTTAAAAATTTTATCTGTCTATCTATCCTCCAGTTCGGAATGGCTGGACCGACTGTAATGGAACTTGACGAAAGGATAAAGAGCAATGCAATAAGGGATCTATATTTTTTTTGAAAAACGGATAATTTGTAAAATATACTGTGATTTCTTTTATTTAACACACTACACATTGATTAAAACTACTTTTAGGGATTTTATCGCGTGTAATTTAATTTTTTTAATTCCCGACGACGGTGTTGTCTAAATAACGCCACATTAAAAGATCCTACTAACGCGAAGCCGGGGCGGGTCGACAATATCGTTACCGTTACCGTTACTGTCTATTAAAGTCCACCGCTGAACACAGGCCTCCCCTACAGATTGCCTCACAGAGAGCATATTTGCCATAATTGCTTCCCTTGGCAAGTGGGTTGGCAGCCGCAGTTTTTGTTTATAGTTGTTATTAAGAAACAGCGGCCCATCTCGTGATATGTTTCCTTCTGGCGCCTGTGCGGGTGTGATAAGACCCCCAGAATGATCGGGAGTGGTGGATATTCTTACACCGCCACTATAATATAATATAAAGTACAAAATAAAATTCTTGCAAGTGATACAGTACAATGCAGTAGTTTTCGGGTGAACGACCTCCTTAAAGTCAACAACGTCACATACAAGAGCAGGAGCAA